ATAATACATATTCATAAGCTTTGAGTACTTCAAAGGAGTATTATATCAAAACTATTATTGACTTGAGGAAGACCCTTGTCGATATTTAAGAGATTGACTATGTATGATGAATACACTGTACGCAATACGTATACATAATGTTTTTGGAAAAGTATGATCAAAGTTAAGTTTAGAAAATCATTCAATGCCAAAAACGCTTTCCAGATTATGGTTTAATTTTTTAAAGCTTTTTTTTTCTAAAGTGATTTTTTTTTTATTAACTTCCAATGTCAGAAAAATTACCCTTTTGATTATTAACTCAGAAGATTATTGAGGAAATCCCAATAACCAAACTTTAGTTTTTTCACAATACCATAATTTATACTTTTTATAATATGTTTTCACCCTTGACTTTTTTTGTTGACTGTGATCATCACGTTTGTTTATAGATACGTGGTTATTGTTTCCAGTAGTTGTGGTGGTACCTCGTTCCTTTGATGACCTATTATTCGGGTTCTACAACTGACCTATATGTACTGCGTCATTTACTCTGTTTAGAGTACGCGTCAGGTACCAGCGCCAAACTCTGTCATAAATAACATGATTAATTGTGTCTTTGAACGACGATTTTTTCAAGCATCATTAAAGTTCATCCAAAGAGCGGTCTACTTGATTTTGAAGAGAGCTGTTCATTATACTATATTTTCTTTTATCTACAATCATGTAATGGTGTCATATCATGATGTTATGCAAGATGATTTATAGCTAGATTTTATCTTCATGAATGATTATTTAAATGATTAAGATTTCTGCGTAATATATTCTTGCAACTAGATTTAATATCAAAGTTTATAGTGAAGGCATGATTGATCACAATCTCTATCTGTAATCTATGTTAGCCATTAAATGCATGCAACAGATCCAGTAGATGGTCCTTATTTTGCCAAGGCTTAAGATTCTTGCGAGTCAGACTTAGTTATCGTTTAACGTTAGTTAAATGTGTACATATTGAGCTTGTCTTTTTCATTTTCAACATAGGGTATACCGGGCTTTCAGTCCCCATGAGAAATGTTTCAAAGATTTTCATTGAGTAACAAATATCATTGTTGTTAGTTTTTTTAGAAAACGCAAAATCAGTGTTCAGTTGCTCTCTAATGTGTTCAGAATGCTTGAAATGGTTAGAAAATGAGCAAATGACTGTAGATTTTAATATATTGATTTCATTAAGAAAAAATTGTTTTTAATTTAGATCTAGTAACATGTTTCTTTAATTGCATAAAAATGCTACGGAAACAGAACTTTTTATTGTGCAGTGTAGAAATGGTTCTTAATATTTAAAAATTAGAGAAAACACTTTTTGGGTGATAAATAGATGTTATTAATATCAATAACCCTTGCTTGTTAATGATGGTGTATAATGAGAAACAAGACATAATTATTAATGTTCCTTCAAAACAAATTTAGGCTGTATTTAGTAACAAGTAAATTACATGTATATCATTACATCGATGGATTGTGTAAATCATTATTCCAATGGGTAGGTAGAAAAACAACAACAACCTTTATGAATATATCACCAAGAACGTTCAAAAGCATGTGCTAACAATTCACCCTGGCAACAATTAGCACCTCTTCATAATGGTGAAATTTTTGAGAAAATAATACCAGTATCTGCATTTACGCGGGTAAAGATGTCTGAATTTCTGTCCTCATCCGTCACAGAAAACAACAACAGACGCCCAAAAAGATTTCGGCCTCGCAGTACCTCTCTATTCCTCACATTGTCCAATTCCAGTCAAGCGGAATGTCGACTGACCTTTTCCAGTAAGTAATTGAACGTCTGATTCTTCCTGCTTTTTTACACGAGCTTTATAGACACGCAGATACCAAATCGCAGAACGGTTTCGTGAGAATTTTTATGAATTCTAATTCTAGATTATCATTACATCAGTGAAATGATAATACATGTAATAATAATTTATTAATAATTTTACGTATGTATTAATAGCTACCTAGGTATTTAAAGCTACCAAAAGTAGCTATTTTTACCTACTTTATATAATTTATGCATTTTGGAAAAAGCCTTTGCAACATGGAAAGAATGCTATATTTTTTTTCAGTTTTATAAATTTTTCCTTAAAAAATTTTTGGCCAAAAAAAAATTAATTTTCTGTAATTTTACATTAGTTTCTATGCAAAATTGATAAAATACGAAGTTTTGATTTTTTAAATTTTTGTCATGTATCATCGTGTGTAACAACGAAATTTTGTGACCACCATCTTTATTATCAGTGTAAAAATACAAATCAAGGCTGAAGTGTATTATTTATCTTTAATAATGTCATCATGAGAAGGAATTGTTGATATATTGTTTTTTGATAAAACATGTAATAATAATTTATTAATAATTTTGGGAGATGTTTAACAATGCCAGTCGTTACTCGAGCGCTTTTGCGTCTCCGCGTCAAGAAAAGGTTTTTGACACTATGGAAAGAAGATAATTTGGTTTTTCAACTTTTTGAATTTTTCCTTAGATATTTTTAACCCTAAGAGAAAGAACACTTTTCTGTTTCCGTGCCATAGAATCATTTAGAGATAGATTAAAATGTATGATATTAAACCATTTGTACGTCTGTGTAACAATGTTGTCTTTTCCATATCATTATCATCAGTGTAAATCAAGGCTAAAGTGCATTATCTTTTAATAATGTCATCATGAGAAGGAATTTCTCATGTAACTCTCAATATTGTAAATGTCTGATGCATTATGTTGGTTCAACCGAAACACCTATCAAGAAGAAAATGAACATGGATCATATGCTGCAATTATTGCAAAGCTCTTGACATTAGCACTGTGCACTGAAGAGTTTTAATTCTAGGATAGTTACAATGTACAGTGTATATGGAGTTTGAGTCTAAGCTGTCCTTTGCATGGAAAATATGTAACGGTTTAATGTATTATTAACATCATTTCAATTGTAATTGAATTCCAAGAATGAGTAAAAACAATCATTTCTGTTAACTTAGAGAACATTTTACCTGGGGAAATATGGCAGTTGTTCTGTGTTGAAAATGAGTTAATTATGATATGTAATTTGAATATATAGCCTTTATAAAATACGTTTCTTCAAATAAAAATAAAATCACAACATTTATTCCTCCTTAAATTTATAGAAAGTTTTGAATAACGTCTTAAAACATTTTTAATGAAGTTATATTGCGTTGTCAAACCATACGAACTGTAATAAAAATGGTCGTCATATAAGTTTGAGAGATTATTAGTGGTGGATCCAGAAGATAGGGGGCTGCAAATACTGAATATGTAACTTGATGATTGAGTATGCTGCATTTCAAAAGTAAATTGAGTCGAGTGAGGTGTACACGGATCATCCAATTTTCAGCACGTATTTCTGTGGTATTCCCATTGTGGGAGTTACGACAGCTGCTTACAAATGTGGTTGTATTTGAAACATAAATATATGTGTACTTTCTTTATGACATTTCGACATTTTTAGACAATTTGTATTGCAAAAAGCTCAGCTTCAATCTTTGGCAAAGGTTAAGTTTTTCAAAACATCAGGTCAAATGCATGGTAAAAATTTATGATGACCAAGTGAATTTCAGGTCTTGTCACAAGAAATACACATGAGAAATATAAAAGCCCTAGTACTAACTATTCAAAAGTTTGGGACAATGTTTATGTTTCTAAGAAGTAAGTTAAACTCCAAGATGGTACCCAAAGGAAGGCCTTGACGCAATAAATGCACTTATGACAAACAAAAACTATACTACTAACCGTTCAAAATTATGGCAAAATTAAAAGTTAAATTTTTTTTTTCAAACTCCAATGTCAAAAATATTTATACTCAAAGATGGTTCTTCATGATTGTCACAATGGAACAGAATCCTAAGAACAAGTCCTTTCATGTGTTGTTTTAACTAATCTCATTCGACCAATCTTCTCTGCACCATCAGGTGCTTGAAGCGGCTACAAGGGATTTTCACCTGGCCCGTTCTGCATGTCTCCATGGCTAGACCTGTGCTCCTCAGCTCTTTAAGGAAATTTTCACCATGTCTCCTTTGGCCTCTGTTTCATTTTCCCCAAGGATGTCCATTTAAGGGTAACCCTGAGTAGTGAGTTCGGAGGCATGCGCAGGACATGAGGAAGCCATTATCAGCGCTTTGCTTGGATGGTCTGCGATACTGTAGACATCCAACTTGAAGTTCTTTCCAAAAGTGTATCATTCGAGATGGTGTTTGGCCAAAGATATTTAGAATACGTATGAGGGATTTAGTTTGAAAATTTGATAATTTAAGAATTTCAGTATTCTGAATTAGTTGAGAAACGTTCTGCTCGAGTTCATGTACGTAAGATAAAAGAACATCTCTGTAACTATTAGGAAAATTTTGACAGGTGCTTGATATGTGTTTCTTTCATTAAAATATGGTTTTCTAATTTTTGTTTATTGCTTCGGGGAGGTTGAAAACTGAATTAAACAATGTAATTTATATTTAATTTCTGAAATGAAAAAAATATTAAATTATTCACTTATTTTGTTTTCTTTATTTATTTCTACGACGCATTTATTACATCATTTGAGAACTTTATTAAAATGTGTTTATCAATAGATGTTAGAGGTGATAATTGTTTATCCAAATATCGATATTGTACAAGAATATTTGCCAAGCCTGGAGTATGATAATTGTCGTTAGAATAGAGGCGCTCGTTATTGTGTGTCCATAGTAACGTGGTTTACGCAACGAACAAGTAAATAACTGACAGACAATTTTGAAAGTATATTTATCATGATCTGTTGATAGATATGCATTATGCAAATTGAAACATGATGACAAACACCCGCAAAGTCAGCTTTCATACTAAACGTAAGAAATCCTAAGTTGGAAAAAGAAAATGAAAGTCTTTTTCAGAAATTGAAAAACTTTATAACTTTTATAGCTGCTATTAAAATTTAAAGAAATTAAGCTATATACGAAATAAGAGTGGAACTTTTCTTTTACAGCTCGAAGTGAAAAGTGCAGCGACCGATTCCTGCATTGCCTATCCCAAGTGCCATGTGGATCGCTGATTGCATGGATTATTCTGCTGGTTGGACTTGGTGGACTTACGGGTGGACTTTTGATTGGTGCCCAGAAGACACGTGACATGCTGGCTAATGATGAGTTGTGAGTTGATTTTCAATTTAATTCCTCAAATTATTTTTAATCATACTTTCTGAGAGTTAAAAAGTACACATACACATGTAGATCCATTTCAGATCTTTGTTTTCAATTTTTATCTAATTTTTATAGGAAATAACATTTGAACACATTTTCAGCTTGTGGTTCATCGAGTACACCCTTATTGGTGTGGTGGTCAGTATGTTTGTGATCGGAACTCTCCTGCTTTGTGTCGGCCATATTTCCACCGAACCCACAAGCCGCCATGTTTTCCAGAGTACCAAAAAGAACATTTGTGCTCAAGGGCTCAATATATTCGTAAGTCCTCTTCTTTTTACCAATTCAAGAATGGATATTGGAAATGATATTTTTATTTGTTTTGTAGGAAGTTTCAACCTGGTTTCGATTATCTTTTTTTACGAAATTCTGTACCGCTTGTTTGGAAACATTTTATTAAAATAAAATTTAAGGTTTTGAGTCATAATTTTCAAATATTTCTTGAATTTTCCTTGAATCTGTTGTTGCAGATGAACATACAGGTAACGAATTATAAAGAAGAGTCGGAAGTTGCATATCTTCTTAATGGTTAATATATATCCAATATAATTTGGTATCATTCTACATATAAAAAGCTACATGTATACAATTATAATTATTTCTGATTATAATTATTTATTTATATGTAACCAAGATTTAACGAATAAAGAATATATATTTATTATTTATCACTTATGACAATGACGTATTAAGAAAGAGATCACAGTCAATAGATGCATATAATTAGCATTTTATATCTATTTATTATATTATGATAAAACTTATGATCATTTATGGTATTTAAAACAAACCAATATTTTATAATTACAGTTCCAAAATTTTAACTAACTTACTAGATAATTGCTTTTTCTGCGTTTTTCGTCCTTTACAATCAATGTTCCCATTCAGGAGGCTGGGAGGTCAACAAATTAACCATCAGATATAACTCATTTTTTAGATATGGTATCTTTTAAAGCTGTCAACTATCATCTGGCTAAAAGAAGTTTCATACATTTAAGTTCTTAAAATTTGATGATCATTTTTGTATACTAGTATCTTTATATGGAGCTCTTCTTCTTTAAGAGATCAAATTAGTCTAAAAATATCCACAATCACCCATGGCCAGACTCGTAAGACCTTTGCAAGTACGTCTGTGCCTTTATTATAACCCTGTGACTTAGGTTCCCTCTCGATTTCTCTACAGCTGATGATATTCTGTTACATCCTGGGCTTTTCCTGGATGGTGGCGTCGGTAGTCTTGGCCGTGCCCGTCTACCTCCTATCCCTCCTCTACTTCGTAGATTTCACAGTCAAGCAAGCCGACGGCAAACTCGACAAGTGCATCAATCTAGTCCATTATGGTAAGTTGTAGACATATTAGCTTCAATAGTCATGATGATGACGAAAGAGGATGCGTTTTAAAGAATTTTATCCATATACATGTAAATATATTTTTTGAAAATATATACTTTTGAAAAATTTAATTTTTTAGACTGAATTCATTTAAAAATTAACTCATATAAAAAATTACTTTCATTTTTTTCCAGGCTTGGAGAAACAAGAGTTTTGTGGCGCTGACTTTCAGAATTTTGAAAGAGAGGTAAGATATACATGTATGTTATGTGAAATTCAATAGAATCCTCTTCAAAAATGGGATAATTAGACAAAAATAGAAGTTATAAAAAGGCTTGATTTTGAAATACTTGTGTGTTTTTTTTGCAGGGGAAACAACTAATCGTCAGTTATATTGCAGCACTAGTGTCATCTATTTTGATAGCCATAAGCTTGGTACGTATATACAGACATAGTAGACTTTACGTGACAATTTTTATGTTTTGCTAAAACTCACATAAAATGTCAACTGTAACTTTATATAATTACATAACCGAATGAGCTTCTAAACTTGAATGCTACTTGTTAGCATTTGAGAATTAAAAACATCGTCATGTTAAAAAATATGTAACCATCTTTCATTGAGATTTTAAAAAGCATGCCTTATCTTAGTAGATTTATACATTCGTTTATTTATTTTATGCTTAATTTTCACTTTCACTTTGCTTTGTGTTTGTTTGGCTTCTATATGATAACAATTGCTAATATTCCTCCTCATTACTAACAGTTTGTATGGAGAAGGTGACAGTCTACATTAAAATAGAACAATATCTTGAATACATGTGCCAGGTTTGTTAAAAAATAAATGGTTATATGGCGTCAACAAATGTCGGATTCCCCTGTCATTGATATAGTAATAAACCGTGGGGCACATAAAAACGCACCTGGTAATTGTAAAAGCACATGAAAATCAGTTTGAATTTGCGACATTTTGTTGTTGCAAATTTATACAAGTTGATATGATATTTAACATAATAATTGTAGTGCGATTAAATTTTGAGACGGGTAAACGAGAATTTTGGATTTTGAGAACAGAAACTTAGGTGTAAGACTAAATGCGTGCGAGCTAATATTTTCTTTTATTCAATTTCATTCAAAAAATTTGGTTAATCAAAAGTATTCATGCCCTGTTCACACGGAGAGCTTGATTCGAATTAAACGTAAAGTTACTGCGAATTAACTTCGCTTAGCGTTCACACGGAGAATTTAATGCGAATTAGTTTAATTCGAATTAATTTACTGCGCATTAAATTACTTCGCATTAGCTCCGTGTGAACGATAAGCGAAGCTAATTCGAATTAAATTTTGACGCATGCGTAAGGCCAGAATTAAGTCACAGGACACGTGTTGGTGGTTATATATAGGTATTTGTGCTATATTTGGTTCAAAAATTGAGGGAAAGTATGTTAATCACTAAAATCAATGAATACCTGTAGCCACTACATGATGTATCAAAGGATGGCTCTGCATACATGACGTGATTTACAAATGACGTCATAATAGACTTACTGACGCCTGACTGTAGAAGAAAAAATTAATTCGCATTAGTTTACTTCGCATTAGCTGTCGTGTGAACGCAATTTAATTCGCATTAGTTTGATTCGCATTAATTTACTGCGAATTAAAGTCTCCGTGTGAACAGGGCATCAGAATGGTTCTTTATAAACATCTATAATCGAAGTCATAAATTTACAATTGCAGATAATTGTTACTTCACGAATGCATCTTTTTTTAAAATTTTCAAGAAAAGGGAATAAAAGATATTAACCGATAAGTTAGCTTTTTTGTTCAAAAACATTGTACAAAGAGTATATTAATTGATAGTCTTTTAAGCAATCTTTTAATTAAAATCATATCACTGCATGCATCCATATTATCCTTTATTTTTGTTGTGTGTTTTTGTCGGTTTTACATTTTTTAAATGAAAAGTTTTACTAGTTATCTTTTGTGTTGATATTTCTATCACTTCAATTTATTTACTTTTAAAACTTGTCTTTATTTCTCATGTCCTTTTATGTTTCTCATAATCAGTATGTTTTGATACGTTCCTACAAATCTGTCAGAAGGGCACTTGTTCAATATTCTGATTTTCTATATTTTTTTTTAAATTATTTTTCAGATCCACTTTATGATTGCCATCAGCGCAAATCTTGCCCACCTTCGAAATTCTCGCATTGCTACACTCAATGCCTATGATGATGACATGGCCAACTCAAAGCTTGTCGCAGACACCACCATGTAAGCAAAAGGCAAGCGTTTACATGACTACAAACAAGGCAGCTGTGACATCATCAGGTGGATGGTTAGATATAAGAACATTTTGTTTACTGCTGAGGAATTGCAAAATGAGATTAAAAATCAACCCCATGATATTATATGATTTTCGATTATTATCACTGTTAAACGGGGATAATAACAGCAATATTGCTTACGAAAAAAACTGAGAAACCAAGACACCTTGATGCTAAATGAAATAGACACAGCCTTAAGAAGAACAGAGGAAATTCGGGCAGCAGCATGATTTCCTCTTTTATTTGTATATTTTTAAAACATTCGCTTTAAATGGAAATGTGCAATACATAGTTTCATATATATTATTATATATCTAAGAAAAGTTAGATTGTTGTTGTATTTGCTTAGAAGAATATGTGTAAGTCAGTATACAATATAGGAAATGGCATTACATAATTAGCTTTACATTAATACATACCTTAGGTACAGAACTCATGCAAAGGACGGATTTTTCAGGGTTTAAAGAAGAAAAGCAAGGGGGCCAATGATATTTTCAAAAATTCCATTGTGCACTTTGACCAGAATTTGTTTCACCAAATTAGCATATATCTAGTTATTGTATGAATTCCTTTTCCCTAGAGCTCTGCAATACTCGTTTTACATGTACGTGCATACATTTTTTTTTCGTTTTCCCCTTTTCTAAAGTTGACAAAGAGCAATAACTCTATACGTAAAACATAATATATTTTCATAACTACGTACAACATGTACAATGTAATAATTATTAATAAAATCATAAGCAAGAACCTATAATAATTGACAGACGTCCAACTCTACGGTAAATAATCACAAAAATCATGTTCAACAGATTAATTTTACCTGTACATTTCAACGTCCTGAAAGCATCAGCCATTAAAGCCAATGACCTCCAAAGAGTATTGAAGGACATTTGTCTCAATTGGAATGTAAAGACTCCTCAGACTAAAAATGCATTATTAAAACAAAGAAATGTGTACATTGAAGCTAAGCAATTGTGAATAAAGTTTACTACTATAATGCAAAACGTTTTGTACATACAGTAACATGTGAAAGACGTGTTCGTTGTTGTATTGTCAGCAAAAGGCATTAACTTATGTTTTGATTGTTTGAAAAATAAAACCTTTTTGTGCCTGTTAAAATTTTTGTGATCAGAGGTAAAAGCACTCTCTTTGCAAAGAAAATTTGTTGATGAAATGTTTTTCTTCCTTGTTGAATTATAGAAACTATTGGTTGATAAACAAATGTCAATGTTTTATTGTGAAGAAAATATATTTTTTCCGATTAGTCAGACATAAACTCATTGTATTCTAATGAGGAGAGGTTGTTTAATTATATCCATGTTTAAAATTTTCAAGAATATTTATGTAATGCGTAGTTGGTTCTTTAATAAATGTATAAAACAAAATGTATCTTTTCCTATGATTTTAATTATCGATATTTTTTTTTTTTTTTTTTTTTTTGAAAAAAAAACAACTTTTGAGATAAGTCATTTTTATGCCCCCGTAATCGAAATTTCGGGGGTATGTAGTGTTTGCCCTGTCCGTCCGTCTGTATATCTGTTTGCCTGCAAAAAGTTTAAATTGCCCATAACCTTTGTAGTGGGTGGGGCAATGACTTTCATTTTTCACAGGTCTATTCCTTGTGACAAACCTTTCTTTGGGTACCATTCGTCCCAATTTGAACTTTTGATCTTGACCCTGGAGTTTGACCCACTTGAACAAAAATTATTAAACTCTAACCTTGGCCATGAGTTTTGAAAAGCTGGTGCAAGGGCTTTCGTACTTCACGTCCACCTTTGTACAGGTACATTTAATTAAAAAAAAAATTTCATTGTCTGTCCATCCGTCACAAAAACTTTAACTTTGCCCATAACTTTTGATAAAGTGGATCTATGACTTTTATATTTCACATGTATATTCCTTGTGACAAGACCTTTCTTTGGATACCATCAAATTTAACCTTTTGACCTTGACCTTGGAGTTTGACCCACTTTTATACAAAAATTTTTAACTTTTACTATAGCAATAACTTTTCAATCGTAGATACTAGGACTTTTATATTTCACATATGTATTCTTTGTGGTAAAACCTTTTAGTGGATACCATCAATTTTGACCTTTGACCTTGACCTTAAAGTTTGCTCTTTTTAATAACTTTAACTTTGGCCATAACTTTTCAAACGTAAGTGCTAGGGCTTTCATACTTTACATATGTAATCCTTGTGACAAGCCCTTTCATTGGATATCAAGAACTTTGACTTTGGAGTTTCACCTTCTTTTAAAAAACAAACTTTGACCATAACTTTTGAAGGGTTAGGGCTAAGGTTTTCATACTTCACATTTTACATATTTTATGCCCCGATAAACAAAGTTTCGGGGGTATAAAGTTTTTGTCGTGTCCGTTTGTCTCTCTGTTTGTCCGCAGAAACTTTAACCTTGCCCATAACTTTTGATTTAGCGGAGCTATGACTTTCATATTTCACACGTGTATTCCTTGTGACAAGACCTTTCTTTGGGTACCATCAAATTTGACCTTCTGACCTTGACCTTAGCGTTTGACCCACATTTGCACAAAAATTCCAAACTTTTTATTTGGCCATATCTTTTGTACAGTAAATTCCAGGACATTTATATTTTACATATATATTCTTTGTGGAAAGACCTTTCATTGGATACAACAACCTTGACCTTTTGACCTTGACCGTTTCCGTCCTTGTGAAAAAAACTTTAACCTTGGCTATAACTTTTGAACGGCGAGGGATAGGGCTTTAAGGATACACCAAAGGCTGTTTTCAAGATTTTTGTCAATTTTGAGATTTTTGGCTAAGAAAACAATGCTAATCACTGCTTTATAATGCATGAAATTTTTTGCTGATTATTAAATGGTTTTCTAATTATTTAACAATAACCAAACATAAACACTTACATATGTGAATGTGCCGTTATTGAAGCTTCTGATTTGGTCTGTAACTGCCTGCTTCTGAAAGGAGCAATAAATCACTGTGACCACTTGGGAAATTCTTCACCAGTCACAAAGAGGTTATCATTAGTTAAACTACAGGAACTCTAGATTTAGGGAAGAAGATCTAACAGGTCACTAATGACCATAAAATAGGAGGTGGAGCTTAGCTCTTGCCATTTTGCCGGGAAATCTTTCTGATTCAGAATTGAACCTATTTTAATTCATTAAAAGCACGTAAATAAAGAATAGAACCTCCCATTCTTGTGAATATGCATAGGAAATATGAATAAGTGAGAGGTATCCGAAGCTGAATCTCCAAGGTGTCATATATTTCTAGCTTTGGCAGAATTTGTTGTGTAATGGGTCTTTGCCCTCTACTGTACAGTAAGATCAGACAGTTGGTGGTATTATTTCAAAGGATTCAGCTGCTTTATTTATCGACAAATTTCTCTGAAAACTGGCCAGAATGCGTCTCAAATGTGTGTTCACAAAACCTTATCTCAGATTTTTGATATCTTGCTCAGGCCCCGCCGTCACCAAAATTCCTCAACCTCACCCTCAATACTCAACTCAAACCCCTTGAGGTTTCCCTAACAGAGGATTTCCTCAATTCACCGTCACCAAACAGACTGAGTATCACCTCAATAGAGGTGATTTTTTTCCCTCAACTCAGTTGAGGTGTTACATCAATAACATCGCGCACTTTCGCGGAATTTTTACGTAATGATTTTACGCAATAAATATCTGTCGTCTGTGTATTATTTTGTATGAAAATGGCTGAGAAAGACATAATTGGGTTGATATCAGGGGGTAAAAGGAAACGGGGGGCTAATTGGACCAGCGAGGAGGAGATAACTTTAATTGAAGAGGTTTTAAAATTCGAACAACAACTATTTGGAAAGATGAAAGGGGCGGGGGTTAAAGGGAAACATGGAAAGGTAAAAGAAGAAACTTGGAAGTCCATCACTGACACACTGAATTTGTAAGTACTGTTATATCAATCTGAATTCACTTACTTTTTGTTTTGACCCATGACCAGACGATTCTCGCTGTGATCTCCCTTTGTAGGTGTAAACACAAATTTTATCCCAGTATATTCCAGTCCTAAATTAATACGGACAATGTTTTCTGTCGTAACCGTAAATGCCCACGGTTAATCAAAATTCCTCCGTTAATTTAATAAAATCTCATCTTAAACAGCATCACATATGTTGGTTACACCGTTATGTCGTGTATTATATACCATTTCTGGTCATAAACGACGAAAGCGGGTGGGGGCTCAAATATAGGTACAAACCACTTCAGACCGCGGCTTCAGACATTAATAATATTGGAGATTAAAGAAATTCATTTTAAAATAAAAAATCAAGTCCCAAATGGGGGAAATAATTTGACCACCCTACAGATTTTTTTAAAAATAGGATACAAGAAAACGAATATAAATGACTACAAAAAAAATTTTTTTTTAACAAACAAAACAAAAATATAACTATTTAAATAAACAAAATATAATTACCGGGTATGTTTAAGTATATTCTATGTGATTATCCACTGTTATATTTAAAAGAAAATGTTACACTTTTAAAGTGAGATGTCAAATTTGTCAAACACAAACTAGAATTTATCAATGTTTTGTTTTTAATTTCATTTATACAGACAATTTAAAAACGACAGAACATCTGACTCCATCTACAAAAAGTATGACAACATCAAACAGAGAGGTAAAATGTTATTACTTTTTTTAGAGTTGAGCAAAGTATTTTTGGGAAATATTTATCAATGAGAAATGTTTAAAATCGCCATCAATTGTAGCAAAAGAGAAAACTGATGACATACGCAGGCCCAAGACTGGGGGAGGTCCACCATCAGCGCCCCTCACTCAGGCAGAGGAGGCCTTGTATCAGGCAATGGATACGCGACCCAACATTGTTGGCCTGGTGGGAAGCATTGATACCGATGGTAATTTAAACAATGTCACTTATTTCAGAGGTAGAACTTTGCCAGAGTAAAATTCTCCTTCTCTAGTAGAGTTAAGATTTAAAAAATGTCATATTTTGGGACCACGGAAAACTTTAAACATTTAATATACATGTACACTGTAATTATAGAACCAATAACATCTGTCCAAACACAAGAGTTAGCAGCAGTTGTTGAAGGAACCGGTGATGCTTCAACATCCTCTAAGAGCCCCGGTTTAAGTTTATCATTTAGTACAAATTCAGGTAAGATACCTATCATTTTAAAAATATATTAACACTAATCTTTGATAAGATGGTACATACGCAAGTACAGTGTATATATTTGCATTTATATTTTTTGTGAAAGATGTACGGCCTAAGGAAAAGAAGAGGAAGATGGTACCACGAGAGATCTTGGATGATCTAGAGATAAAAAATAGTAAACTTGAAAATGAGAAGCTGACACAACAAATAAACAAGCTTGTTCAAGAACAAAAGAAATTAGCCTTAGAGGGGAAAAAATTGCAAACGGAGATTGAAATGCTTGAGATTAAAAAATCATATTTATTGTGTAAATTAAGTTCTGAATTTCCAGAATTCATCATAAACCCTGTTTGTCAATGACTTACTACTTTTGAGAGGCTCTGAATAGATCACAAACTCTTGAATTGGGATCAGTAAATGTGAAATATTTATTTTTTAAACTATAAATAAACGTATGTACTTCAGTATATCAAATGAAATTCTGAAACATATGTCACTATAAACCGTCAACCACTTGAAAATGACCTGAAATAGACAAAAAATGTTATATAAATAATTGTCATTGGTTGAATCAATGTATAGTTGTATACATACACGTAAGTTGTGTGATCTTCGGTATTATGAAT